CAAAAGGCGTTTTTGGGCACGAGTGTGCGGAAAAAGACACGAGTGCCGGTTATGCCGGCACGAGTGGGTGTTTTTTCCGCACACTGTGGGCAAAAAGCTGGGCACGTGTTGCATACAAAATTTTATGCAATAGGAGACGAAAAATACTTTCATTTAAATGAGGCGTTTTACCGCACACCCGTGTTCAAAATGAGGCATTTTACCGCACACAAGTGTCCAAAAACGCTTTTTGCGCACTAAAAAATGTGCGAAAAAAGACATTTTTCGTCATACTATTGCATAAAACCTTTTTTCTGCAGAATCACTGTTAATTTAAAATTTTGTGCATGATTGGCAAAAATACTTTTATAGAAAGGGGATCATGTATACACGTGTACTCTCAAACAACGTTAATGTTAAAATATATATCTGCGTATGTATTAGGCACCCCAATCAACCAATATTACTTGCACAGTGTAAGTAAACACACACACATACGCTTGTGTACAGCCGCCGCCGCCACCACATTCACGAGTACATATGCATGCATACGAACTTCGGTATATAGCAATGCGTATAGGCACTCAAACTTTGTGATTGAACTGTTATTGTTCATTAAATATTATTGTTCGTCGAGTAGTTAATAGATGGGAGCTTACAGGGATGTATTAGCACTGCGTAAGCGTATGCATGTGTGTGTGTGTGTGTCTGTGCGCGGATGGCTGGAAAGATCGATCGAAACTTAATGGGATTTCAAGATGGCGCGTGGAAGAGCCCAGGCCTATTGTACACGCGCGGTATTATTACATCGGGCAGTGGATTAGGCCAGATGATATCTCGCGCTATCAGGGCTTCGTCACCCGAAATGCAACCAACTTTTAGATGCGCTTTAGTTCGAAATTCACGCGTCTCCTCTTCGCGTTGAAGAAGAAGAGGATAGAAAGAGAGAGAAAGAGAGAAAAAAAGGAGAGGAAAGTTTGCGACGTAGGAAGTAGGCAAGAAGTACTACGTATACACACACACCCAGAGACACACATATAACACATGCGCACAAAGTTGGAGAAAGCACGTACGTCACCTACATCTTCCGCTTTATACTTTTCGAGTTTTCCTTTATTTTCTTTTCGTTCGCGTTGGGATTGCCTAGTACTCCGCACGTTTTTTTATTCGTTTTGCGCGCGAGCGCATATAATACCGCGTGTCATTTGTCACGGATCGCCCAAGTTGCGAGCGACCTCCTAGTGCTGTCGCTGTACTTGCTACTGCTGCGGCTGCTGCTGTTTAATTTGAACGAGGCTTCGTAAACAAAATTTATACTCACGCGCGATCTACCGAGCTACTTCTCATTGCACATGTCCGCGCGCGTGTCTCTTTTGTCTCGAGCTCGGACTATCGTCTAGGCCCCATTATCTAGGCTTACTTATCTCGTACGACTCGAGCTTTCGCAGATTTTCTACCTTTATATTTTCTCTCTCAACTTTTTTTTTTTTTATATCACTGTTTGTCATTCTTTTGTGGCCTGATGAGTACGAGTTGTAGAAAGGCACGCGGCGCGCACCCACAGGAGGGTCTGGCGAGTCGCCGAAATTCATACCCGAGCGCGTATTTTTTGACGTTTTCGCCTGATACGAGAGAAGTTTAATGGAATTTTTAATGAGAAAAAAAGGAACGTGCTCGTCTCAACATATTTTAATAAGTAAAGTTGCGCAAAGATTTTGTATTTTCCGGTGCGGCGGCTAGCCGGCCAGTGTGACCGCAAAAAATAAAGAGTGTATATCCGCCGGCGCACACGGTGAGAAAATTTTATCTCCGTGATAAACGTAAAAAACTTTTTATTAGGTCTTTCGATATGTTTTATCAAGAAAATAGAAGGTACTTGAGAAATCAACGATAGTAAAAGACGGAATTTAAAGCTGCGTTATCTCGCACATCTTTTCTCTGCTCTACTCGCATAAACACGAAAATGTCGAAAAAAAAGTTTTTCAACAAAGATTTGCAAATTATAGGATCTAATTTTTTTTTGTTAAATAATGCAACGAGGCTCGAACGAAAATAAAATACACGCTAGTATCAATGAACTGAGATACAAAGCTCGCTAAAAAGCAAAAAAATTTAATAAGATAAAAATTTTCCTTGTTGCGTCAGAGCACACGGAAAAAAAGGCGAAGGTGAGTAAAAAATAAATAATGAAACAAGCGCTTCGCGGGGGTACAATAGAAATAAAAGTTTGCGATTGATGAGAAGTTACTCGTTCTCACTCAGTCGAATACTTGAAGGCAGATAGAAGACGCGTTTATCGCTATCGATTATATCGATTCTCCATTTGTCTCTCTCTCTCTCTCTCTCTCTCTCTCTATCTATCTCTCTCTTTCTTTCTTCGAGTCTCTCTGTACTGAATGAAATCAATTTAGCTAATTAAAGCGATGTTACAGAGAGAATGAACGACGACGTGACGAGAGAAAGAAGTAGAGAGAGAGAGAGAGAGGGAGCGAGAGACAGAGAGATCGAGATCGGAAAAGCTTGCGAAAAAACGATAGAAACAAAAGCTTCACCTACCATTTCTTTCTTCGAGCTCGTTTCTGTTCTTAAAAGCCGAGCTAGCTCAAGCGACTGCTATGTGTTGCTGCTCGTCAACTCGCGGGACTTGGTGCTTTCTCGGTGCGAGGCGAGCTCGCAGAGTTTTAAGAGTTCTCAACTATAATATACACCGTACACTCGAGTCACTTTCTTAAAATCGCACCCACCTCTAGCGCACACGGCTGCAGCCAGTACGTGTGTGTGTGTGTGTGTGTGTGTGTGTGTGTGTGTGTGTGTGTATGTATGTATATAAATGTGGGAGTAGAAAAAAAAATTGCGCTCGTTGTTACCATCTGCTCTCGCTGCGCTATCTGCGAGACTCTCTTCCTTTCCTCTCTCCCAAAGCTCTCATCAGCAGCGCACTTTGCAATGGTACTATACGTCGCATTGCTGCTTGTACGCTATGTAATTAATGTTACATAGTGTCGTTGTCGCGCGCGTGAACTTGAGACATAAAGCTTTGCTCGACACTCTCGTTCGCTCCCCCCATTCCCCGCTTTTCCGCGAAGGTACGTAAGTATTTACGAACTTCTATTTTTTATTGTAGGGCGCACGCTACGTTGACTAGGGAATTTAATTGTCGTGTCTGTGTTGCGCTGCACTGGCAATTGCTCGGACAGAAAAAAAGGGCGAAATAATTTTTTTTCTCGCGTCAACTTGCAAAATTCAAACTCTACGCAAGTCTTTTTCACATCAAAGAATTTTTAAATGTGACACGCTTACGCTCGTAATATCATCGCGATGCTTAAACACCAATGAAATCCCGATGAAACTAGATAGCACAGCGTTCTGGGAAAAATGTCACTCATTCGATTACACAATACAGACGCGTACACACACAAGGCCGCGCGTATGTCCGAGGATACATTTTTTTTGTCGCTATTGTCGTTACCATTCTCCGGCACGCGAAAAAAAGAATAAATACCTTTTGCTTTTGACACGTAATCCATTTCGCAGTACAAGAAACTTTGCGCTCGAAAAGCCTCGGCGCGAGCGTATATATGTTTATGCAGATAAGCTTACGTCAAAAAGCTCCGGGGGAAACTACTGTTATAGCCGCACCCGACTCTCGCACGCGCTCGCGCGCACACACACACACACACGCACGCATACACACAGAGAGCACAGATTCGCTTTTAATCGGCTCTCTCTCTCTCTCTTTCTCTCTGGATCTGTACCTACGCCCCCACGAGGCAGTAACAGCACTTTTATACATATATATCTATTTTTTTTCCCGGTCGTGCACAAAATATTCCCGTGTATGGTAGCCTTCTGCAACTCTCTGCGGCTGTGTTTTCGAACGCGCGGCTCTGCAGTCGCCATTGTGTTGAACTATTTTTGATGAGCACCGAAGGACACGGACTCTCGTATATATATATATACGTGTATGTGGCTACTGTTATAATCCCATTGCCTTGCGCGCTCGCAAAATTTTCTCCGCGCGACGCTGCAGTCCTTTCACGCGAATGCGGATGCGATGCGATGGCATAATGTGCCCCGACTCGCTTTCGCGTGCTTCTCTTTCTCTCGCACCTCGTACCCTGCGTTGCGGCCCCGAGTACACGCGTACATAAACGTACGAAAGGAAAAAGAGAGTAGTTTGCACAACCAGTATAACCATGTGTTATATTTCTCACTGATCTTTTATGCATGATATTCCAAGTGAGGGAAAATTTTTGCGTAAACGCAGTGCAGCGGGCTTTTCGTGATAAAAATTGCCAGTCTTCTGCACGCTCAATCTCGCGGTATCTCTCTTTCTCTTTCTCTTTTTCTCACTCATTCTCTCTGGCTGCATTTACATCTTTCTAATGTTGTATTTTTCGTCAAAGAAATGAGAACGAAATTGTCTGCGCTTCAACGGTTTGCACGTTTATAACAACGTCGAATTCCTCGAAAGGAATTATTAGTAAAAATGGCTGTTGTACTCGAGAACTTTTTCCCTTTTTCTTCTCTTTTATATAATTTAAGGAGTGCAGAAGAAAAAGCGAAAAATTCAAATTTCTTACGTTGTTCCTAATCTAATTGTACAATGGTTGAATTTTCGAGCAATTACAGCAAATTACCAGTTGAAAAAAAAACTCGCCAGTTGAAACTTCGCAGCATGCAAAGTACTCCTATGCGCAGTGATGCTCGCGCTTTAAAAAAAAAACTTGCTCCCGGGCAAAGAGAAAAAGAAAAAATAAGGCTCCGCAAAAGTTTAGGGAAATTTTCAGCGGAACCGCTTTGAGCTGCTGCAACTGCTGCAGCCGTTACTAGCTTGCCTATCGATACCTTCGATCGTGTTTGTTGCAATTTAGAGATGAAGTTTTCAAGCTCCGACACGATAATGAATCCCCGAACGAGAAATCGAACGTCGATATAGATTTATTTGCAATTTGCGAGGAAATTTCCACAATCATTTTATGAATCTATGTTTAACATGAATTTTTATGTTACTGTTGCAGTGACGATGAGCGAAGCACAAGCGGTGGCGGGCAACATAGCGCAGATGCCGTGCGACATCGAGCCACCAGTGCAAGGGGACAAAGTCAGCCTCGTCCTTTGGTACAAGGAACCCTCGGATTTGCCGATATACTCGTGAGTTCATTAGATGATATTTTTAAATTATTCGATGTTCGACGGGTTCAGCATAAATTTTGCTGCGTTTAGTACAAATATCGGGAATATCTTTTTTTTTTTGATTTTTTGTTTTTAAAGCAAGATTGAATTGAATGATCATTAAGAAATCTATCGTTTCTTTCGTGTTTGCTCTTTCAATACATTCATATCTGGATTTTTGTACCTTATCTACAGCACCATCATCTACAGGCCATTACTCCTTTGTGCGTGTGTATGTATGCATAAGATCGAGAAATGGACGTTTTCTCCTTTTAGCGAAATGTAAATTAACTCTAGACTCCTGACTTAAGCTAAAAAAGGGAGAGAGAAAGAGAGAAGTCGAAAAATGCAAAATGAATGGAATGCAAAGAAAAACGTTGCCCGAGATCGGCGTACACAGGCTGTGCTGCTGCGCCTGAAAAAGAGAATAGCTACAAGCTCGAACGAATTGAAAGAATGAGTAATAGAGGTCTGTGCTCTCTTGGGCGCGGTGTATATGACCTCGGCAGCGGCAGCAGCAGTAGCAGCACAGCTTGCGAATTAGTTCAATTTTAAACGCGCACGATAGACGTTTTGAACGGCGCGTTGGCAAATTCCAATTTTCTAATTATTCTTCTTCTTCTATTCTTCGTTGGCGCGTGCAAAAATCTGCATTTCCAATACCATGAAATTTTTTGTTTTTGTTTCAGGGTTGATATGCGTAAGGCGCAGGGCACACATTGGCAAAACGTCTCACTGGGTAGTCGAGCTTTATTCAAGCACGCCGAGTCGCCAGCCAAGCTGAATCTCGAGGCCGTAAAAGAGAGCGACGCAGGGCTTTATCGTTGCCGGGTCGACTTTAAGCAGTCGCCTACGAGAAACAGCAAAGTCAATCTCACCGTCATAAGTAAGTTTTTGCAGCTTGTTTGGTTTATATTTACCTCGCCACGTAGTAATGTTACACCACTTCGGCTTTGAAGTTTTGCGAGAGCTGACGCTAATCTCATTTTCTTTTATGTAAAGCTCTCTCTGTCAGCTTTGTGATTTAATAAGTGTACGTTTATTCTACCCGCCTAATTATTCATCGAACGATTTCTTATCGCTTTTTAATATTTCTGCGTTGCTTAACGTGAATATACATTATATAATACAGCAGTTGATTAATATACGTACAGAAAACGGCGATGCAGAAAAAAAGCCCTCCTACGCACTCAAGATGCGATAACTAGACGACAAGCCGTGGCACACTTTCAATGTTGTAAAAATAATCGAGTGAAAATTTTACTTTGATTACATCAACTACTAGAGCGCAGTTTGCTAGCGGCAGCGAGAGTCTTTCTAAGGACAACATTTCTTTTTACCCAGAACGAAACTTTCAATATAAGCTTTTTCTCCGTTGAATTTCTCTCTCTATATATCTAACCGTTCGCTCACACTAAATCTTCCCAATGAAAATAACACTATGTTTAGAGGGAAATAAATTTTCCTCTCCCCGGCCAAATCCACTAAAGCAAATTACCATTTTTCACGTTACTTCTCTCCTCATAATATATTTTTCATTTCTCTTCTACCTCTTTTCTTTCCTCGTCTCGTCCGATGACATTAACTCGTGTGCCGCTGGATGTATATATATGTACACATCGTATGAATTTCAAGCTCGAAAGAGCTTGCGAGCTATTATCGAATTCGAGTCAGGCGTGTGCGCGCGCGCGAATATAACTGGCGAGAAAGCAGTGTTATGTACAAACGCGCGAGGGATCTCTAAAGTAACTTACAATTAACGCTTATAAACTCGAATTTAATATGTCTTGGCCGGAGCTTTTAATGGAGAAATTATCTCTCTTTTTATTTTCTCATTAAAATTGTAACTAATTTTTGACTATTAATAATCATAAATTGTGTATATATTTCTTCAAAAGTACTAGTGGCAAATGGTTGATATAAAATTAATAATTTTCAGAAAAGTTTTCGCGCCAAAGATCTTTATTGCATATATATGTTGCTTCGGGGGGTTCATAAAATTCACGAACAATACCGCTTAGTGCAAAAGGAAAACGAGAGAGAGAGAGACAGAGACAGAGAGAGTTTAATATTCAAACTGGCTATAGTTTACTGCTTATTACTTAAGATCTTACTTAAAGTTATGAGTTATGTACGTGCTCAAGTAGATTTGAACAAGTTTGAACTTCGGTCGTCGTGTTGTCGTTACCGTCTCTCTCTCTGCGCCGCGCGCGTCGCGTGCTGCATACACCTTCCCTCTCGCTCTCTCACACCTTTTCCTTTTGCACCCTTATTCCTTCTCTCACTGCTGTACACCTGCAAACATGTATTTAGCGCGACGATAGGGCAAAACATCGCGAGTCGTGCATCAAACAAGTCCACGAAGGATATACCTGGACTTGCTCGGTTGCCGGAATAAATTGGATTATTTCATCGACATATTATATTGTACGCGAAACGCAAGTTTACTCGCCTGATAAATTCGTAAACGAAGCTGCTGCTTAAAATCCTGCTAATCATCTTACGCAGCGGCATCGAGCCGATTGAAAATCGAATTCGACTTTAATACACGGGGCTTTGCGTCACACACACAAACTTGTTCGCCTCCCAGCTTATAATGCTTGAATCGTCGGCTGAAACATACATACATGCATGCATACAAGCATACAAGCATATAACGCGTGTATAAACGCAAACATAGCCTCGTGCATACGAATGCGTCCACTTACATACATATTTCGCACGTATAAACGCGCGTGTACAGGTATATTTATTTGCGCGCCCGCGCGCCACCGGCCTATATATATAGTCCCGGCGTATATAACGCTCTGGCGCTCACGCGTACACGTCTGGGGGGGGGGNGGGGGGGGGGGGGGGGGTATTATAACGGTTTCCTAACTTTGCACTTAGAGACTCTGGCGAGGCGCATAATGAGCGAAACACACGTGCAATATCATTCATACGTGTAGAGCGTGAATTGGTCTCTGTGTGTGTGTGTGTATACGTGCGAGTATATACGCATAATACGAGGCGAGCTCGCCTCTGTATATGTAGACTTTATTTCTCTAACTCGAGCAATTTCATATACTTTACAGTACCGCCAGACCAGCTTAGAATTCTGGAGGAAGGAAGCCAGTCCCATATACCGTACTACGTGCTCGGCCCGTACAGCGAAGGTGCCTCGCTCAACATTACCTGCGTTGCTACTGGAGGTCAGTAAATACCTGCGATACATACATATGAGCGCTTGCTTGCTTGCTTGCTTGCTTGCTTGCTTGCCAGTATGTGAGCTTATACGTACTCACACGCACGTGCTTATTATGCTTAAATTTGCACCACCTGTGTCTGTGTGAGTGTGTGTGTGTGTGTGTGTGTGNTTTTTTTTTTTTTTTTTTTTTTTTTTTTTTTTTTTTTTTTTTTTTTTTTTGGGAAGGAGGGAAATCCTTTTACGGATTCAACGTGCGACTCTTGTGTGTCGCACGGATATGTCGGACTCGAGTAGTGTACTGTTGTTTGTGTACAAATGTTGTGTGGGCGTGTAATGTGCCTCCCTACTAATACCGACTAAAACCCATCCTTATCTCCTGCCCCTTTTCTTCCCCGCGGAACCACCTTTAAGCATTACTTCGCGGGGGAGGCTCGAGCTGTGTGCTCACTTCTGAGGAGTTATCTTCGTTTCTTCATCGTCTTTTTCTCACCGCATCATCCGGTCATCTTCTTCTTGCCCTCTCTTCGCTCCTCAGTCTTGTCATGACCGATTGAGCGAAGGCGGACACTGCTAGCCAGTTGGATTCCGCCTCCAGCATGAATCCTACCAGCGTCTCAGGCTCCAAGGGACCCCCAAAGAGGTGGTGGAGCACCTCTCTTTCCTCCGTGAATCGAGGGCAGCGGAAAATGACGTGTTCGACATCCTCCACCGCCTCCGGACATGCCGGGCACTGGTCACCTGTGTCGTTGTTTGTCCGACACAGGTATGACCTGAAGCAGCCGTGACCGGTCAGGAGTTGCGTGAGGTGGTAATTCACCTCTCCGTGCCTCCTCTCGATCCACGGAATGATGTTCGGGATGAGTCGGTGTGTCCACCGACCCTTCCTCGAGCAGGTCCATTGGGCCTGCCATTCCTCGATCGTCTTGGCCCGTTCTTCACTTTCGACGTTTTCGAGGCGACGTAAGTACAGCCTCGAGCGTTCGTCGATAAGTAATGTGAGCGGTGGTATGCTCGCAAGAACGTATGTGGCCTCGTGTGAGATGCTGCAAAAACCGCAGATCACTCGCAGGCAGGCACGACGATGAATCGAGACCGCCTGACGGGCGTAGCTCTGCTTCTTCGCAGCCTCACTCCATGCCGGGGCACCGTATAGGAGGATCGAGTCGACCACGCTGGCGTAGAGCCTGCGTCGACTGCTCCTTGGGCCTCCAATGTTGGGCATAAGACCCAGCAGGGCGCCTGCAACCCGGTTTGCCTTGTCGCTGACGATGCGAAGATGCTCATCAAATCGCAGCCTGGCGTCAATGTGCACGCCTAGGTACCGGATGCAGGGAGCCGACGTGATGAGGTGGTCGCCGGCTCTGACAGTGATGGTCTCCGTCACTTTCCTGCTGGTGACCAGGAGAACCTCGGTTTTCTGGTCAGCGGTCTGTAGCCCCAGTTCAGTCAGGGCTGCTCGCACTAGACGTATAGTCTCGTTTGAGTAATACTCGACTAGGTCTAAGTGCTTGGCCACCACCGTGATTGCAATGTCGTCTGCAAATCCGACGATTTTTGCGGACCTCGGTAGCTCGAGCCTTAGGATCCTATCGTACATGACATTCCAAAGAATGGGGCCAAGTACGGATCCCTGTGGCACGCCAGCCGTAACTTCGTAAGTCTCTGCCCCATCATCCGTGGTGAACTCCAGCACTCTGCCGCGGAAGTAGTTGAAAACCATCCGCTGCAGATAAGCCGGGACCTCCATTTGGCTCAGGGCGGTGAGAATTTTGTCCCACCGCGCTGAGTTGAAGGCGTTCTTCACGTCTAAGGTGATGATGGCACAGTACTTCTTGGTACCCCGATGCCATCGTTTGCCACTGATGGCTGATCGTGCAGTGCTGAGAACGGTCTGAATGGCATCAACAGTTGATCGCCTCTTACGGAAGCCGAACTGCGAGTCTGCTAGGCCAGCAGGCCCTTCAGTGTGGGCCTCCAGGCGACCAACCATGATCCTTTCGAGGATTTTACCCGCTGTGTCTAACATACATAGCGGGCGGTACGATGATGGTTCGGCGGCAGGCTTGCCTGGTTTTAGCATCAAGACAAGCCTTTGCCGTTTCCAACGCGCGGGGAAGCACCCCTCCCTGAGACACGCCGTAAAGACGCGGCGAAAGCTATCGAAACAAGCCTCGACCGCCGTCTTGAGGGCAGTGTTAGGGATTCCATCTGGACCAGGGGCTGCCCCGATCCTCACACGCCGATACGCCCATCGGAGCTCCTCCACGCCGACCTCGGGAATCAGGTGCTCCTCCAGTACCGGTGGGTCACCGATTAGCCGAGGGATAACCGACGGGAACAGCGTAGACACCGCTCGCCGCACCAAGTCAGGCGCGGTAGGGGGCGATGTCCTGGGTGCCTTGAGGCGGGACATGACCGTTCTGTATGGTTTACCCCATACATCGCGGTCCGCCTCGTCACAGAGCTGCCTCCAGCAGAGGCGCTTGCTCGCCTTTATCGCATTGCGTAGTCGCCTCCGAGCATCGGCGAACTCCTCGCGACGAATGACTTCGTCAGGACGTCCGCGTGCCCGTTGAGCGTACCTTCGCGCACGGATGCAGTCTCGTCTGCACTCCGCGATGTCGTCGTTCCACCAGTAAACAGGCTCGCGGCGCCGGCGATCACGCCCCCCAGACATGGAGGCATCGCATGCGCGCACGATTGTGGACATGAGTTCGTCCACCATGTTCTCTGCAGAACCCGACCGGATCTCCATCTCAGACACGATCTCAGCAAAGCTATCACCGTCGAGAGTTCGTGCGCTCCACCTACGGTTGCCTGCCGGAGTACGGGCAACACCTTGATTTTCCTCAAGGAGAATCTCGTACACAATAGCTTTATGATCGCTGCTTGTGTAGACATCACTTACCCGCCAGGATCCGACTCGATTGTAGAGCGAAACACTGGCGAAGGTAAGGTCAATTACAGATTCTCCCTGTTCTCCAACAAACGTCGGCTCGGAACCGGTGTTCAGCAGGAGGACATCCAAGGTAGCGAGGGCATTTAGCAGCGCCCTGCCCCTCGGCTTCGTCTCCCTACTGCCCCACTCCGTTGCCCAAGCATTGAAGTCGCCAGCCACGAGGACTGGTGTTTTTCCTCTGGCCTCGTCAACAATGTTGTTCAACAGGCCAATGAATTCCTCGTGGGAGAGTCTAGGAGGCGCATAGATGCTGAAGATATAAATTCCAGCAATCTGCGCCCAGGTGAAGAAGTGACTCTGCCCAGAGGAGCACCGTTGCACAGGCACTCCACCGCGCACCCAGATTGCCGCTTGGTTGTCGGCATCAGAGATCCAGGTGTTCGGTGGTGTGAGGGGCCTGTGCTGGTCGGACAGGATTGCCACATCAACCTTCAACTCCCTCACAGTCTGCAAGACCAGGTCTTGGGCGGACTCGCAGTGGTTGAGGTTGAGCTGGAGGACGCGAATCCTTTGCTCCGTCATTTTGCACCTCGCACGAACTTCTTGGCTAGCGGACAGGCCGCACTCAACGAGGTATGAGTCCTTGCCTCGACGCCCTGGCAGAGAAGACAGGAGGGCACGTTTTGGCAAATCTTAGCCCTGTGCCCCTCCTGACCACACCGGTGGCAACACGACCTGCGGTCTGGGCCCGGGCATCGAGCTGCCATGTGCCCCGGCTCCCAACACTTGTAGCATCGGCGAACCTCGCTCTTTTCGCGGATGCGGCAGTTGACCCATCCGATCCGGATGCGCCCCAGCTTCACGGCTTCAGCAGCCAGCTGGACCGGCAGGGTGACGACGGCAGTCTGGGTCCCCGCGAAAGCTTTTCGTAGAGATTTGACCGCGTCCAGACCCAGCTCGGAGGCACCCTCCAGGTGAGTTCGGAGGGCCCCGCAGATCTCCTCCCTCGTTGTGACCTCGTCCAGGTCTTTGACTTCTATCGTGGCCACTGGGGTCCGGGCAGTTGCCGAACCCAGCTCCCCGATAGCGCTGTCCAGCTTCCGCCCCAGCTCGCCAGGGTTGGCACAAGCCTTGTCGAGCTGCAGCAGAAGTTCCCCACCAGCACCGCGTCGGACCCTGTTGACGCTACCAGCCGAGTCCTTTAGCGTNCGTAGAGATTTGACCGCGTCCAGACCCAGCTCGGAGGCACCCTCCAGGTGAGTTCGGAGGGCCCCGCAGATCTCCTCCCTCGTTGTGACCTCGTCCAGGTCTTTGACTTCTATCGTGGCCACTGGGGTCCGGGCAGTTGCTGAACCCAGCTCCCCGATAGCGCTGTCCAGCCTCCGCCCCAGCTCGCCAGGGTTGGCACAAGCCTTGTCCAGCTGCAGCAGAAGTTCCCCACCAGCACCGCGTCGGACCCTGTTGACACTACCAGCCGAGTCCTTTAGCGTTGTCTCTGATCTTAGGAGCTTCAGTATCTCCGCGTAGGATTTTGGGTCCTTCGCCTTGACCACCACTACTCCAGGGCGAGGGCGAGGGCGTCCAGCCAGCTTAACCTTGGCCTTCTGGTCAGGAGCCTTTGCCTTTGCAGGGGTCTCTTTCTTACCCCGCCTCTTCCGCTGGACCTGTTGCCAGTTGCCACCATTCTCCAGCTCAGCGTCCTGTGGAGCATCCTTCTTCCCGCCCTTCTTGCTCCTCTTGGCCGATGGTGGGGGGATATTGCTGCTCTTCGACGTTGTCTTCTGGGCCGTCTTGGGTGTCTTCTGTTTCCCGAGCCTGGGCGATGTTTGCGCCTCCTTTTCCACTGTGTTCTGGCGGGGGAGCTGTTCTAACCCATCCAGCGTTGTGTAGCAGCTCTGGAGGATAAGAAGCGCTTTCGTCAGTCCTTCCTTTATCGGCTTATGGACATTGTTCCTCGGCATCGCGAAATCCATCATCTCGACGATTTTTTCGTGGAGCCGATCAAGGTGTTTCGCAAGACTCACCTGCCTTGCGGACCTCTCAGATTCCACCTCTGAACGGGCTTCCGACCCTACTACTGATGGGGTTACCGACCCCGGTGCTGATGGGGTTC